GGGCTGCAACCTCTGCGGCCGCGTCTGGTCCTTTGAGCCACTGCATCCCCTAGCGGTGCTGAGGCTCCAGCAGCCACCGGCCGGAAAGTGAGGCCTGGGCGGCGGGGTCAGGCGGGAAAAGAAGACTCCAGGTCCGCAGCAGGGCCGTGTGTGAGGAGAGGAAGTGGGTTCTCCCTGGAGCTTTCCCACTTGACTGGGCAGAGAACTAGTTCTGGGGATCACTCGAGCGAAAAGACATTATTTCTTCTCTTCACTCCTCTACCCATAAAACTCCTCACAAATTCCATATACTGCGTGTGAGGAGCCATCCCTTCGAGTCAATTCCGAAGAGATCCTTTGCAGTGATCAAGGGAAAGCATCGGTAGTCAGCTTCAACTGCGTGCGTGGAGAAGGCCTTGTTTCAAAATGCGATCCTTGTAGAAAGATTGGGAGCTGTGTTTGGAAGCGACTCCCTCCAGTCCTGGATTTGGCTCTCCCGTGGGGTCCTCACTTTTTAAAAATTCGATGCTTGCTGGAAGTCGGGGTTGATTTTCTACATATAGGACTAGAAGAAAATCCCTAAATAAGCTCTCCCTCCCGCATTGCTTTTGCGCCTAGTGGATCTCCGGGTAGGGCGGCCCTGTAAGGGGCATCGATTTTCCTTTCACTCTTTGACCACGCATCTCTCATGGGCTAAACTGCCAGGCCCAGCTCATGGCGCTCTCAAAACCTTTTAATTATTTAGCTGCTGTCTAACGTTCCCCGGAAATCACTCCATAAACAAGGAGAGAAGAACGAACGCGCGCATATGTTTTGCTGAGGCCCAGAATTAAGATTAAGAATGTAGGTTGCAAGAAAAAATGAAAAAGGCTTCTCTTGTCCTTCAGGCTGCGGATGCCAACCAGCCTGCCCCTAGTTCAAAGCCTCCCTGAAAAACGTAAGCTGTTGGTCCTGGGCACTGAGAAGGCCCAGAAAGGGCAAAAGGGAGCCATCCTCCAGACACACTCACACACGCGCACACACGCGCGCACACACACACACACACAACGAAAAAGCTACGGACGCCAGAATTTGGAAATGTTAACTTCTGAAGCGAAAAACAATGTAAAAGACGAAAAGAAAATGTTGGTGAGAGGAGACCTTGCGCTATAAGGCCGCCTGTATGGTACCTTCATTAGCAGCAAGGGCAACATTTTTCATTTTAATTCAATCCCCTTTGAGTGGGACCAAGCTGGGGCAGGAAGGGGCACACACTCACCCCTCCCTGGAAAAATAAAAGGTCTTGAAGGCCCCCTGGGTCTGGGTGGTTTGGGGCTGGCAGAGAGGAGTAGGGGGCCTGGGGCTAGAGGCCCGGGGTAGCAGCCTGTAGGGGGTATTTAACATGTAATTCCCAGCCGGTCCGCCCCTGTTCCCGGACTGACAGTGGGTAATTGGGAAAGAGGACGTTGCTCTTTTGATGGCCCGCGCCGGCCAGTCTCGCCGACGCCACACTGGGTTTGACGTCACGGGCCCAGCCCCAGAGTCAGGAACACAGAGCAGGGGGGTGGGGGCAAGAAGGGGAGGGGGATGCCCAGG